AAAATGCCAGATGTCAAACAGCAAAAGAAGGACACAACAGGTTGGATGTGAGCGAGAGCTCCTGAATTTGTCCTGAGTCTGTTCTTAGCTTTGGTAAAGATGTAACTCTGAGCAAGAAGTTTTAGAATGGATGYTTTTCAAACAGTGATATGATAGAATGTGTGGGACTGATGACGTCTCTTATATACCCCTTCCCAACTGTTTTGTGCATGTTCACATACACATTTATGTGTGTATGTGAACACCCATAACCAGAATGTTTGATTCCACTAAAATTGTAAATACATGAAAACTTGAGATTCTCCTGGCTGAAGAGCAAATGTGATTCAACTGCATGGCTACACATCAGTCATTCAACAGTCATACAACATGCCCCTMTCCTTGATGCCAAAAGTGTCTGCAGTCATATTCMGCCTTTTACATTTCCTTACTGTAAAACATTCTTCTACCTTAAAAAGGTAACAACAAGCAAACCCCCACAAATAAAAATCCCTCTCTCTGCATTCACTATTCCTAAAAAGAAAGAAGTTGAAGAAAACCACTGATGACAAACTGTTAATTATTCCCTTCTGTCACCTACATACAGATTAAAATCTCACATAGSTGATCTTGTCATCCACATTTCCTTGCATTATTACAGCAATTATTTATCTCATGGTTGTGTTAGTGTCTATAAGACACTGAGTTTCTACAGCCTCTCAATAAGAAGCTCAGAAAGAAAGAGTGGGGAGGCTGAGGTACAGAAAACCTTATGAGGGGGGCTTTCAAATTTTACGCAGCTGACTTAAAACAGTAGTATGGTAGAAGTTAATGAAAATATACAGACTGGAGAGAGCAAGGGACTTTYAGTTGAGTTCAGAGAAGTCAGTTGGTGAAACACATTATGTGGGAAAAAAAGCCTGAAATGTTTATTCATAAATGAGATACTACAGTTATGGGAGAGATCAAGTAACAGACAGTGGGAAGGCAATGTAAGTTGGGAGAAAGGTGAACAAGTATTGTCGCAACAGTGGCTGAGGAGTCAGCACAGCAATGCAGAGAGGAAAATTACATTAACAGATTGATGGGAAAGAAAGAAGATTTTGGTGTTGATATTTTCYATTTATGTCAGTAACACAGCTGGTATTTCCCATGATGTGTAAGGAGAGGAAACCATGGAATTTCGAGATGCTTTTGAGGTATAAGCATCAGACCTTTGCAGAGAGGTGACAGAGTTCTTTTCTACTGTTAAAAAATCTCAGACTACAGTTTAATGGATCAAAGATTCTAAACAAAGATCTATTAAATAGAACTGGAGCAGTGATCTGTATTTCCTATGTTATATTCAAATATCTGCCAATCAACAGTTTCCTGTGAGGTCCATGATATTTTCTTAAGCATTTTTGGCACTCCAAAATATGAAGAGCCATCTGAGAGCAAAATAGTCCTGTGGGGGATTTCTCAGGGTGAAGGAACTAGCTATGATAAGGATTGTGAAAAGCTAGTCATACTTAGCATTGTAGTAGAAAGCAAGGTTCATGGGAGATTTCTGGCTGTAGAAGACAACATCCATTACCCATTCGTGCCTCTGAAAATTGACCATGCTTCTGATAAACCTTCACCATCCTCATCTTGATCAGAATCAAACTGAATGAGAACTTCTCACCCAACAAGTTCAAAACTGAATGAGAACTTCTCACCCAACAAGTTCAGGAACCAACAAGTAAACCCTCTGAATAAGAACTAAAATATCAATTTTGTGATGGAAAGCCAAGAGGAACACCTGTAAGGCACACTACAGCTGTTGCACCTAATATGCATACTCTGTGCTTAACACTTTTTAATTGATTCTCAATTTACAAATATTTTCTGTTTTACTTTTGTATTTAATTATCAGCACATGCCTGGTAATGGACTGAAGCAGCATGAATGTGATATGCTGTCCATGTTGAGGATTCMGATTGGTAAGACTGATGTAGGAAAGTAATAAATGGGAAATGGTAACACACAGCAGTAGAAACATAATACATTTTGCAATAACAATTACTATCTGTATTTAAGAGTAAATCTGAAGGAAACCATCCATTGTGCAGCCTTGTTAGATGCTTCTCAAAATAAATCTGATAGCAATGGAAAAGCCTCTTTAACAGATTTATTCTGCCATGGGATTCAACTGGCAGTGAATCAGAGCTCTAAGACCACTCACTTTTCTTCTTTTTTTTTTTTCGTTGCTATATATTGTTCTCCCTTTACAACCCACTTTGGCTCATCCAAAATTCCCATTAATGTCACTGCAAACACCACAAGAGAAGAGGTGTAGAATCTGGCTCCTCAGGCAAGTGCCTAAGTGTGTATCCTCAACTATGCCTTAACAGATGTGTTTGAAGCAGCTCTGGGCATGAGGGCCATCACTGGGACAGAGGACCTCTCCTCAGACTGACCAGGGCCGCTCTCCCAGCAAGGAACTTGCTGCACCTGAGAGCAGCCTGGCACCATGAGCTCAGTGCTGCCATGGCTGCGCTGCTGGTCATTCTCCAGGATGCCAGCCATAAAAGGGTCTTTCACAACCCCTATTAAGTACAGAGAGCTCCTTCGAGCTGTTAACAAACCTAAACACAGTGAATTACAGAAGATCACATCTCACAAGCTTTAACATTAGCAGGCTCAGCTCACACATGTCTAGCAGTTCAATTTTGACCTYAAAAYTTTCATCAAATGTTTAATGGGACAKGGCTTGTGCAGTGTAAAATCTGTCTTTAAAAATGTATGCCAAATCAGTTCCCCCTTAGTGCACTGCAGCATAGGGGCTCCATGGCAGCTGGAGCACAGGAGAGCMGACCCTGAAAGAGCCATTCCTTAATGGAGTGTCAGTCCTTTTACTTTGGAATAGCCAAATACTATCTGGAAAGTTGCTGGGTTCCCTTGAGTTAACCAGCTTCAGCTTTTGAAGGTGTCTGGTGAAGCATTCCCTGCCTGTATTCTCAGTCCTGCTGAGGATGAGCTCTTTATGATTTGCTGGAGAAAGGTACCAACCACAAAGCACATGCTGGCACCTTTTTTGTGGATCTTTTGTAAATTTCTTTCTTTATTTTTACTATCTGGGACTGCCAGGTGTTCTACTCATCAAATACTCTTGATTCTCTGTATGCAAACCTGCTGGAAAATATGGGGTTCTTCTGGAATAAATATGAGGAGAATTTGCCTCTGAGTTTCGACCCTATCAGATCCATAAAGTCTACTTACAAGTTATAATAAAAGGAGGGTTCTGCATCTCTTCAAAGGTGCAGCATGAAAAATCAAAAAATCGAGAAGAACCAGGTATACCTGGTTTATCTCAAGCCTAACCAGATACTATCCCAGCTTGTGAAACACACTGCAGTCACATCTGCACAGCTTCTCTGAGGGAAGGAGTGCCTGAAATAAATCCCCAAGTACAGTCTTGCCATTTCTGTTCTGAAAAAAGCCCAACTTACCTTCAGAGACCTAATTTTGTTCTATAGTACAAACTTTTAGTAAGTAATACAGTTTTGTTTTCAAAGAGCTTGCATTCTAAGCTCCTGATCTTTTCAATGTTTACATGTTTAACTTATTCACATTCTTGCAGCTATGCCTTAACTTTTGTCATATGAGGGCAACGACAAAGATAGGATGTGAGAAAGGAAGTATTTGTTATCCACATCTTGAGGATGAGGAACTGAAGCGCAGCAAAAATGAGATTCTGATCCTCCAAAGAGTGTAAATGTGCTTAATTCTTAAGCRTGAGTAATTTCCGCCAGGTTTGCCCTGCCCTCCAGACTGAAGCACAAGGTCTGTTCAGTGACTGTCTCCGCCACGGATTTTGAGTAAGTTACTTAAGTTCTGGTCCGGCGGTTAAATTCAAGCGCATAAAAAGCGCGGGACTTGTTTTGCACGGGATGCGACAGACTCGGTTGAAGTAAAGGAGGATGATCTGCCTCTTTAGCTCTGGAGCGTTACAGGTGTATGTCGGCTGTGACTCTGACGGCTTGTGACTCTCCGCCGTATCGCTGTTCCCGGTCGCTGCTTGCCGTGMAGGGACACCCGAGTCCCGGCACCACATGTGCCCGGCCCGGGAGTGCCCGGGGGGCGGCTCGGAGCCCGGACACTCTCCCGCGCCTCCAGCTGCGTTCAGCCGGCAGGGCGCCCCTGTAACAGGTACCTCGCCAGGTATAAGCTCCTCTGCCGCAGGGGTCCCCGCTCGTCCGCCGCCGTCCCAGGCACCGGCAGCGGCGGGGGCGTGCGCGGGTGCGGAGCGGGCGGCGGCCGCGCGGGCGGGCGAGCGGGAGCGGCGGGGGAGGGACCGGGCGCTGAGCCGCCGCCCGCGGGGCAGCACCGGCACATGGAGCGGCGCCAGCCGCGCCGCCACAGCTGCCGCCCGCCCCGGCCCCGGCGTAGCAGGTACCGCGGGGCGGGGGGTCCCGGGCGGGCACCAGCCCCAGCCCCCGGGGCGAGCGGGGGGTCAGCCCAGGGCGGCTGCGGTGCGCGGGTGACGAGGGGCCGCGMGGAGCCGATGCTGCCGCGGAGAAGTTGTTGGGCGCGTTAAGTGGGAGACTATGGAGCCCGGTCATCCCATCTCATCCAGTTCCATCCCTTCTCCCCGTCCCACACGCTTTTTTATTTTTTTCTTTCTTTTCTTTCTTTTTGGTTTTTTTTTTTTTTTTTTTTTTTTTTTTTTTTTTCAATTTGAAAACACTGAGCCGCACATACAGTTCGGGAGTAATCCAGGCGTTTTAGAGCGCTTCCTTAAAATTTCAGCGATGAGTAGCCATGAACTGGCCGAGAAAGGGCGTTAATGGATTCAAATGCGGATTGGTCTGTGTTCTCCTCGAGTAAGCTACAGCACTTCGGTTCAAAGCCCGCGTTCCAAGTGCTTGCGCCTGTAGTTTTCAGAGGGGTGGCAGGTACGGAGGTCGTAAAAACTATTAGGAAATTGTAAAATTAGCAGCCCCAGTGAGCTTGAGGGGAACGGCGTATGAGGAGAAGCTGCTGACTTCCGAATAGCGGTGGCACCAGAAGTTTTCCTCCTTACTATGCAGCCTGTCACAGCTGGAGGGTTTCTTTCACCCTGCTCCGGGAAATTACCTTTTCTGTGAAGGTTTTGCTCTGTAGTCGTTGTTAAAGAAGATGCACGTAGTTAGWAACCGTGTGTGTGAAGAAGTGAGCTCCCACTGCAGCAGTTGGTTCTAAGGAAACTTTTAATTTTGTGCTTCAAGAAACCTGATTACTTCTTGGATTACTTTTCTACCTTGGTTTAGAAGGTATGGTAACACTGCCAGATATTATGCAAAGCATTCTGCTTTCAAAAGTGTTAAGAGTGAATAATACTGTGTCAGAAAATTTTGTAGTATATGATTGCAGATTATCTCAAAAAAGTGATGTTTTGTGGGATGCAAGAATTTTTAGACCGGTATGGCCACTGGCTTAAACTATGTAAATTGTTATAGAGGATTATGATGTTGTTTCTTTTTACTTTTTCTTTCTTTCTTTTTTTTCTTTTATTTCTTTTTTCTTTTATTTCTTTTTTTCCCCCTTTCACTGAATCTTACACCTGTAAGTGCAAGAAGTGTTTTCAAAGGGTTTGTGCAGGGATCAGAAGTTAGAATTTAGAGTTTCTTGACTACTTATTTTTCCTTCCAATATCTGGAGGCTACCAAGGTTACATCAATATGCGTTTATTGTCCAGATGTCCAAACCCCACTCAAATTAAACAAACCAGATATATGATTATATTTTCTATATTCACATTAACAACCCATTTTCTAGACCTTAATATTTTAATTTWAAAAATTAAAATGGAGTTGTAATGTGATGTAAGGTTCAAATCCTTTAAAGAACACACTCTGTTCATTTCTGATGAGTASTCACACACATAGTGCAGTACCATGGACTGTGACATGCTATTAAAAGTTATAAAATTAGTTCTAAAATTCCTCTCAAATACTTGGAAATACTTTATCAGAATCAGCTGAGCACGGGCATGTTCCGAGTGGCTTGTGGCACTGCTCTCTCACCCTGCTACTGAATTGCATTTAAGCCTTAGTGCAGTTGAAAAATGAAGGATGCAATGCCTTTAGCTTCTGAATTTTCCAAACAAAATTTTTGCACTTAGGTAACTTTGCTTGTTTGTTCTCTTCTCTGTTGAGGGAAAATGTGAGTCCAAAAAGTGAGAATGGATTTGTCCATGTTGCCATGAAAATGCTCAGTATGCCTCTTCACAGGTTAATAGAACAGTAGGTACAGTAGTTGATATTTACGTCTCTTTTCTAAAATGTTTCATTGCTCCTGTGCAGAAACTTCTTTCTAATATTGRTAAACTCTGCTTTGATTTTAACTCATAAGTGTTGGTCAAAAAACGGAATATAAAACACAGGATGTACTACTTAGACTGCCTTATGCCTCCACCCCCTCAGTCATTTGCAAAGCTTTACCAAGTTTTACTTCGATGGCTCTGTGCCTTACTCCTTTATCAAAACCTTTAAAACTRATGCCTGTAGACATGAGAAACCAGGTGCACACCAAGTGGAAGACCAAGAACTCTTAAAACAGTGCATGTCCTTATGACAGCTCTCCATAGCAAAACTTAAGGGGAGAAGTATGTGAAATTCTGCAGAGCTCTGGACTTTAAGTAGTTTGTGTTTCTATGGCTTCAGACTTTCTCCCAACCTTAAAGATTTTCTCACTAATCTATGTATTGGTGACTATCCAAGTGCTACTTTTTTTTTTTTTTAGTAAAATAGGTGAAACTCAGAATATGTTATACTGCAAGTTTCTAAAAAAAAATTAGAAATTCTATCCTTAATTATAACGTAAATTTATAATAAAAAGCTCAGGAGAAATCAGGTTTATCCACTGAGTGAGAAGACTGACCTTAACAAAGTCAATGGAAGTCCAATGCTAAACATCCCCAGTATCCAGGATTTCAAACCTAATGCACTGATCCTTGCAAGAGTCCTCTGCCTACTGGGTATGGCTTCCATGGGAAATGACAGGAGCATAGAAGCAAAATGTGAAACTGCACTAACTGTCATAATTCAGTCAGGAAGGAGTGATGGACCCTWGTATTTGAAGAGGGATCACTAATGCCTCTGGGCCAGTGTAATGATGGGAAGACAGGGCAGAGGACTCTTTTCCYTTTGCCCTTCATGCTGTCAGTAACTGCAGAAGCTTAGGCACTGATCATATGTTCATCCTKTGTCCCAGTTGAGTATTTCTCAGGGTGGCTGCTTAAATACAAGTGAGCAAAGTGACTTGGTGTGTTTTTAGTAGGTCACATAATCATGAGTTGCCTTACAGAGACAAGTTTGTTCTACACCTCTCACTTTCCACCTCAGCTCCACACTGCCAATACTCCCTCCCTCCCGAATTATCTGGTTGCTTGTTTCCTTATATAAACGTGAATGATACTTTTGTCATTTGTGTTGCATGCAGCGTACCATTAAAAAATGCAGTCGTTTCCATCTCAGCATTACTGTAGCAGTTTTCCTTTCCCTTGTGGACCTTAATACCGAAAACCTGGTCTGCTTGCCACTTCCACTGCATAGCAATGCAGAAATGTAACTGGATAAGCAATCCACAGAGTTTTAACAACAATGCAAAATTTCTTTCTCATCATTAAACTTGGATAACTACAAAATAAAGCCAAAACCATTTCCAGACATATTTTATTTGAGCTTAGGTACTTCTTCCCCTTTCTATCACAATTTTGCAGAAAACAAGGAAATGGGACCAGTCTGTATTTCAGCAACAGAAAACAAGGGCATAATGAATTGTATGAATGTTCTGGCAGATCATTTTTGGCAAAGTTCTCTTTAAAAGTCCAGAGGATATCGAAAGTCATGGATCACAGCCTAATTGTGTGGCTCTTAGTCAGGAAAAACTTCTATTGAAGGCTTGTGGGATTTTTTTTCCTGTTTTATGTGCAAGAAGAGCTGGGTCTATAGTARTTTTTGCTTTTTGGTCAAGATTCACATATGCACTTGATTACRTTTTGACCAGTCATTACTTTCTGTTATTATTAAAAGTAATAGAATTAGACCAAAAAAAAAACCCCATAGTAAAATAGTAGAACTTAGTGTAGCAATAATGGGATCTTTGGAAAATCTTGTCATTCTTATGAGAGTAGGGCAGGATGCACTGCTGGCTCCCCCAGAATTCCCCTCCCAAGTGACTAACACCACTCTTCTAGCAAGTATAAAATCAGTCAGAAAGAAAGAATACTGGGAATATATTGTGTTGGTTGAGAAGTGGACAGTAAGGACTCTCATCATCTTTTTCTAGGACTGTGATTCTTTGGGGAGCCTTTTTGAGTGCTTGCTACTCAATGCAAGAGTCAAAAGAGGGAAGACCTATTCCTCACTGGTATTTTTTCTATAATCCAAAGATTACTTTTGCTCCCCCCTCCCCACGTTGGAGTGGAAGAGAGTTTAGAGATGAGTGTGAATGCCATCTGAAGCATGGCAGATAGCCTCAGTCTTGTCAGCTTTATGGCATTTTCTAAACAGGAGGCTGCTTTAAATACCTTCCACTCATCCAAAGTAGCTGCAGGAGCTTTCTCTCCCCAGTGGCTATCCAGCAAAGTGGACTGACTTCAGCTGGGAAACTCCCTGCTTCCGAGGTCAACTGTAGCTTCTTGTCCCTATGTCTGTAATCTATATATAAACCTAACTACAACTTGGAGTCAACAGGGGTTTTGTTTGCTCCCTAAGTTTAAACAGAATTATGTGTAGCCTCCTAAGGTATGTTGCAATGCATCTTTATTAAAACCSCAACAACTTCTGCCTCACCCTTCTCCTTCAGGACATAGCTTCCTCCATGCTTTGAGCTGGTGAACAAGAAGAGATTGCAGGGGTTTTTGCACTAAGCAGGTTACTTCCAACACTGTGGTGTCTGTGAAAGTAGGTCCTAGTCCTGAAAAGATATAGGCATGTTCTTAGGTTTATTTGTACCATTGCAAATTCTTGGGGATAGGAGTGTGCAGGTTTGGGAGCTGCGTGTCACACTCATGCTGCCTGTGAAAATGCTTCCAAAGGACGTTCACACTGCTTGTTTGGATGAGCAGTAACACTGAAATAATAATATTTTTTAAGCGATGGGAACTGTCCACTTCTCTTGCTTATTTTGCTTATTTCATGTGAAAGATTTACATTTCTTCTTCTGATTCTACTTGCTCTGGCTTTCTCAGTGAAAGAGAAACTTGCTCTGTAAGGAAGAGATCTGATTCCCTGCTGAATTGCTTCATTTTTCTGCTTATTTTAACTCACTGAGAACAGCAGAGCAATTGCAGTATAAAGCTGGAATTGACCGTAGTGGATTGGATCCGAAATATTTGCAAAAGCAGAGTGAGTTAACTGAAATATATAGTGTGGAGGAACTTGCTAATTTGCTTAAATTTTAGGAGTTATTTTTGGGTATATTTAAGGGGAAAAAAAAATCACACCGGTCTCTAATATGCTTATTCAGGCTGGTAATGTCSTTTAATAATCCATGACAGCCTGAACAGTTTGAAGAGAAATTAGGAAGCAATTCTGTGATCATGAAGCAGAGTTACTGAAACCTTCTGTAATTCGGATAAATTGACTACTGATATATTGTAGGGTATACTTCGCAATAACGATTCTTGACATGAAGAGATGCTTTTATGTTTTCTCTGTTGCATATTTAGATACATTGTGATGAGGACATCCTACGCTTTTTAAATCAGATAAATAGATACAAAAAGTACAGTTTTTCATTTGCWGTTTGCCTCTTCTTGAGTGACAGCTCTGGAAGAACATCCAAGAGCTCTATTTGGCCACTTGAGAATGTCTGTGTACTTAGATTGAGTGCCTTAATTTACACCCCTCACCTTTTATAGTCAGTTTATTTATAAGATGGAAGTGTGTGCATTTTCTTTCTCCTCATGAATTTATTCTACTTTTCTGCTTGATTTTTAGTGAATAAAAGGTGACAGGGTTTAATGAGTTAGTATAACTGGCCYTTAATTAGAAAAATTACCTTCATATTTTTTCATATTGTGGAAACAWTTTATACTGACTCTGGTTGCAATTCAAAAACTTGAAGGAAAAACCTTTTTTATATTTGTAATTATATCAAGTCCAGTAATTTGCACACAAAGTCAATAAAAGAATGGATTTTTTTTATTATCTCCTTTAGCTATGAATTGTTACATGAGTATAGCTTAAGCACAAAGAATGCTACAAAGAGCACATATGGAAAACATATACATGATACAAGATGCACTTTTTATCATATGTCAGTG